TTTTTTAATGCTTTGACTGACCATGAAGTGATACACATCGTAGTTATAATTCTCGCTGTATACAAGGATCTGTAAGTGGGTTATGCTTTAACTAGGATTTAGTGAAACGAAATGTCACCAGTATTATTATACTTTCATGCTTTCATATATCCATTATCTCTCTAAGTGAACAGAGCTCATATAGAATAACTACTAGCTAGCTATTTAGAGCATTCCTCTGATTTACTACTTTTCTAGTTCCTATCATCTCAGTTTAATTTTTTGAGTGATCCTAGATTAGTGATGCGTATCTTCTCTATAGTCGTTCTACCTTACTTCTTAATCACACATCAGTATTCCTGTATCGTCTATGAGTAAGTGATTATTAGTTCATAAACTTCCACTTACTAATTATTCTGTATCATTAATAAAGATAACTGCTCCCAAAGAAACTGTTGTCATAATGGGTGCAAAGCGGATTTCAGAGCCAGAGGTTACCAGTGATGGACATCTCACTTGTCATTTTCAACAAAATGTTCCTGTTCACAGTTTTTTTTGATTGCTATTGCTTGTGGTGATCTAGCTAGCAGGTAAGTGTTAGCGTTTTCTATGTAATCTTGTTGACTATGATACCATTTCGGTTGTTTAAAAAAGATCTCATAAAGAAGTATGGTGTGTGTCTGTGTCCTAAATACCTTTATTAAAAAGCTTTAAATAATGCGACAAAATATCATCGTTGCTTTTCATCCACACCACAACTTACATTGACTTACGTACAGCGTAGTTCACTGGTCCATTCGCTACATCATAAATGTCATGAACAAATACTACTGTATTACTGAGATGTCTAATCAAAACTTAATTCACGTTCGCTAATATACACGCAGTTGACCATGAAAACATGAATGAGCTTGTTCTGTTAAGATTAGGTTTGGATTTAATTGATTGGTATTATATGAATTTTAATCATATTCTGTGTTGTAAACTGTATTAAAAACAAAACCAATTCACTCGTGTATCTGCTCACTTTTCTGTGGAATGGCTACTCATATATCTCCATATTGTTTCACTTTTTCGTTATGAATGAACCACTTGCAACTCCATGCAATCGCCAATGCGCCGTACCTATTGTGTGTGTGTGAGGGTTGATGATAGTACTTAGCCTCCTAAACCTAATTAGGTGGAGGAGGATTCGAACCAGTGACCCATTGTCTGGAAGTCGGTCGCCTATACCAATGAGCCCAAAACCTTCAAATGTTGCTATGAACAGAAGTAACAATGTAACAGTTATGATAGTTTGGTTACTAGGATTAAGCCGGGTTAGGAATACTGTTGGCAGATTCATTTTCAAACAAACATACTACAAGATACTGACTGAGCTATTTAGTTTTATCGAAAAGTGTGTGTCGTCTGCTGGCGTCAGTGAGCAATTGTAACACTTATAATGTAAATAAAACTTTCGTATGCATTGATTCGTCATTGCACACCTAAAAAAATAACATATCTGTCGATTGTACATTCACTACAGTGAAAATAAAATTCCGGACAACATTGGAAAGCACTTTTGTCCGACTAACTTAATGATCAATCTTTTAAATATTTTGGTTACGTGTGTTTACCTCAACGACAGTTTGGTGGTCGTTTATAATACAAAGCATTCAAAAACCTTAATATTTATTAGTTAGCTGATCTCATACAAGTACATTGCCGCGTTCTTTCCATCAAGAAGTATGCACTTTGTGTTATTCAGGGGAAATTCCGGATGAAGTGCGCCGAAGAAGAAAACATAAACCAAAATTCAGTAACACGGACATAAGAAATAGTGTGAATAGAAGTAAATGAGATGAGTGATATTTTTATCCATGTTGTGCGCTTAACAAATTACTCATGTATATGAATGAAACAAAAAGTTGTCTGACCTGATATAATCATAAGCAATAATTTGTGCTATAGACGTCATCAGATAATATTACTGTACAACACTGTGTGATTTATCAAAATAAAATCTTATCCATAATCGGGTTATACTCTACCACAGTGCCCAAGTTTTATACTTAAATCAAAAATACTTGTCTCATGCATTAGGTGTCTCCTTATTGTTTCATTTTTGTCTTCCTCATTTCAGGTTGTCAGTCCTCGTAGACATTTTAATAGTTGTCGTCATACATAGTGTCTGCAAGCAGTCTTTCAATACATCCAACTCCCACAAAGTTGTTGGTGTGAAGCTTTGAGATTACTCACTTTGGGCCGTAGTACGATTAGTGCGCTTATATTACTGATGCACTGACATGCAAGACTTGTACATTTTACTGTGAAGTTTGCCTGTAATAACATTCCCTCAATAAAATAAATACAATGCTTGTGGTAACAGTTCGCCATTGTCTTTTCATTGTGTTGATAGGTGCGTATATATTAGAAAAAAGCTGACCTCGTCGTATTTGTTCGCTAAAATACTCTCGCTAAGTGCCCATACGTCTGCTTAGTACCAAGTGCTACTCGTGGTCCATGAAATACTTTTTACTGCATTCGTAAATAACTATCAAACTATTATTATATGGAGTAGTGAGACAGAAGGCGTATGAAATTCAGATGTTTTGCAATTAAAAGTGTTCTCTGAGCTGGTTGGTTTAGTCGCGAAGCTTTCGTCGTCCTTCCGGACAACATCTTCAGCGCCATATTTGGCACAGAGTGAAATGATTTAAATTACTTCATGCGTGATGTAATTGCGTCTCCTGGTTACTATCTTCACATATGTATTGACCACTTTCTATTGACTAGGATTTTAAACTCTTTGGTCACCTGATTTACTTTTTATTAATTGGTATATTTCATCTATATTAACGTGTTTGTTAATCGCATTTTCGCTTGAGTACCAGGCTTCTAGGAATTCTCTGGCACGTTTCGTGTTTCCTCTGTTTAAGATTTTGACATGATCCCAATCAAACTGATGACCATAGTTGTCTGCATGCATTGATACTAACGAATACATATCATGTCTTTTTACGGCTGATTTATGTTCTTGGATTCTGATTCGCAGGGGACACCCACTTTGGCCGATGTAATGCTTGTTACAGTTCATACAATTTATTTTGTAGACGGTATTAATTTTATCCCCTTTTTCTGTTGGATCTTTTGGTTTGCATAATATCGAATTAAGCGATTTTACTGGTTTGTGTGCTATATTTATATCCAACGGTTTCAGTATTCTGGCTGCTATTTCAGAGATATTCCTCATGTATGGTAGAATGAATTTTCTTGTGGTCTTTGATGATGGTTTCTTGTTGGTGTTTTGATTCGACTTTAAACACTTTTTGATGAAGCCTGGTACTCAAGCGAAAATGCGATTAACAAACACGTTAATATAGATGAAATATACCAATTAATAAAAAGTAAATCAGGTGACCAAAGAGTTTAAAATCCTAGTCAATAGAAAGTGGTCAATACATATGTGAAGATAGTAACCAGGAGACGCAATTACATCACGCATGAAGTAATTTAAATCATTTCACTCTGTGCCAAATATGGCGCTGAAGATGTTGTCCGGAAGGACGACGAAAGCTTCGCGACTAAACCAACCAGCTCAGAGAACACTTTTAATTGCAAATCATCCACCTGAGCTACAAATCTTCTCTATTATTTCAAAATTCAGATGTTAATGTGTATCTGAAGTTACTGACACAATATATATGTACATGTTTCATTTCCAAACAAGAAAATTTTATAAAGTAGTGTAGGGCTGAGAGCAATGAGTTAATAGTGTATCCACTACTGTATAAAACTTATATAAGTGAAATGCTTCTATTCAATTTTCGGCGAAGCTGCAATATCTCCCTGCAGGGTTTCTCCGATGCACTTTCATAGGGAACAATACTTGGTACTGGGGAATGCAGCCAAAAGCATCCGTGACACAGTCGAATTACTTTTCCAACTGAAAGCGGTAATACTGATATTAAGTGTGATTTGCCTGTTAACTAAGGGATTCCAGCGTAACACGCCACCATATCTCAGCAGGGTATTCTTTGTGTTGTGCAGGTACAAGTAGAATCCATGGACTGAGCATTTGTTGAAAATGGAGGCATCCCATTGAGTCATTTAGACGAAAGGCTGACGAAATGAGGTACCTTACACACGCATCTTCAGATGTAGGCATGTGTTACTTCACGTGAAATCTAGGCCATATTGAGCAGGCACTCCTTTAAATCGACCCTCCGTTGTACGGTCAATTATTTTTCGTATATATATAATGACTTGGTGCATTTTCTAGCTTGCCTATAATTACGGAATAAACATTATATTAAGCAACACAAATGGATATTTGAAAACCACTGGTGTTCCTTCTCTAGTCTTAACTGATGTCACATTGATTGGCACGATTAAAGGAATAGATTGTAACGTGGTGTTTTCTGTAGCTGCGAAACGTAGTTACCTAGTTTCGAATTGATATCATGCGTCTAATCCTATTAAGCTATGGATATAGTTCTTCCTTCACGATATCTACAAGTCAGGAGCACACTGTCTTCAACAGGTTTAGTTTTAACTTGTGACTAATTGGTGAGTTACCTGGTGTTGTGGTAGTAGAAAAAACAACTCCACATTTTCTAGATATGAATATATTTACTTACTTTGGCGACAATTTAATCTTTTTAACAAGAAACCCTTAGGGATATCAACCTCGACTTAGTAATTAAAAGCCAGAAGTAAGCGCCATGTTACTAAGTTACTCAAGACAGAATTATGAGTGAAATAGTACTCGGATAATTATTCTAATAATAATAATTTATATTTCGTATAAACGGGTAAGTTTACATGAAATGCATGCCATTTTTACAGGCACGATCAATTATGTTACGAATTACAATTGTGAATTAGCACACATTATCACTTTTTTAAAAAGTTCAAATTTCAATATAGAAAATATCCCCATTTAGACATTTAGAAAACAGAAAGATTGAGCAAAGAAATATTTACTGTTCGATTAGATCCTCATCTCTGGCTCTACTCTAATATATATAGCATTTTTACAATACACAACAATTTACCAAACAAGTGGCGATATGTTTGTTAACTATAATTAAGCAGTGTCAAAATGGGTTGATAATTAACGCAGAAAATCAATACACATTTAAAAAGTAGAAATGGTTAGAATAAATTAATTTTACAAGGATAACACGTAATTAAAGATGAAGTGGTCAAAATAAATATAAATAAAATAAAATAATTAGGACAATTATAATTTTTATAACTTTTAAAGGTTTAGGGGGAGGGTGGCGACGTTGTCCTGTTTATGCATCTTGTAACGATGGCCACGGTAAGGAAAGTGGCTGTACAAATTTCCTCTGAACACATAGGCTTGGCTTCTTCAGGTGGATTCCGATTGCTTCAGCTGTCTGTAGAAGACGAACTCGTAGAGCAAAATTAAGATTAGCCGGAATGCGATAAATAATTTTAAATGCAGTATTAACATCAACCTTATGCTCATTATCAACAAGGTGTGCTAAAATAGAACTACGATTAGATCTTGTTTGTCCCTTGCTTAACCATGTTGGATGATGTTCGGAAATACGACGATGAACCTGCCTAATTGTACGCCCAATGTAGCTGGCTCGGCAGCTGCAGTCAGACTGGTAGATACACATAGAAGAGGCAAATTTAGGAAATTTATCCTTATTTATAATTATAATTTATTATAATTGTCCTAATTATTTTATTTTATTTATATTTATTTTGACCACTTCATCTTTAATTACGTGTTATCCTTGTAAAATTAATTTATTCTAACCATTTCTACCTTTTAAATGTGTATTGATTTTGATATAAGTATAAAACTTGAGCACTGTGGTACAGTGTAACTCCATTATGGATAAGATTTTATTTTGATAAGTCACACAGTGTTACACAGTAATATTAACTGATGACGTTTCGAGCACAAATTATTGCTCGTAATCATATCAAGTTACTCACACAACTTTTTCCTTCATTTATATATATGTATGGAATTGACTAGATATTTGAATAAAAATCAATATGAGTGTTATTGATCAAATACAATTAGATGGGAAATAAGACGAATGTTCTTGTAGTTATAATAAGTAATTTGTTAGCATGTTGTGATTTGCTTGAATTGAAATAGAATTTTGAGATTATTTATTATCCTCCTCTGATTTGACTGGTTGTAATAATATCTTCCATATTTCTGGTATTTGCATTGAGTCATTTCTGTTGCATGTGTTGGATGTAGATTCAATGAACCAGGATTCAGTAATCAATCTCTCTCTCTCTCCACCTACACAGATTACTTCTCAGAATCTTAACCCTCTCCCACCCTATTGTGTGGTTGTGTGTAAATGCATGTAGTGCAATTGCTGAGCTTTTTCCTAAATTACTTATCTTCTCGGGGTCTTTCTTCGTTAATTATCAACCCATTGACATTTTGACACTGTTTAATTATTGTTAACAAACATATCGCCACTTGTTTGGTAAACTCTTGTGTATTGTAATAAAAATGCTATATATATTAGAGTAGAGCCAGAGATGAGGATCTAATCGAACAGTAAATATTTCTTTGCTCAATCTTTCTGTTTTCTAAATAACTTAATAAAGTTTGCAAAATCTGATGAGTTAATTAGTTAGAGTTTAGGCTTTGAAGTATTTCAGGCTTATTTTTTCATAGATAAGCACCTTTCACATATGGTTTTTAAGAAGTTATATCCGGTGAGGTAATTGAAACATGGTTATTCTCAAACATGAGTGTTGTTATGTTTTTTTTTATCATCAGAGCAACGGAACTTTATGCGAGAGAAGAGTGTAAATGAGAAAAAAGAAAAAAAGTAAATTTCAGCTTCATTAAAGTCCTAGGAAGTTGAGATAAAATAGAGTATAATAGTAATTAGGTAGAAGGATTATCGTGAATTATATAAGTGACATTTCAGAGAGAAGTGGCTTGAAGGATTAGAACGTGTTGGATATGGTGGCCTGTAGGATGTCTGGCGAACTTGTGTATGGCCCGTGGGATAGCATCTTGACAAGAAACTGAGCAGGCTTGCAGATGTTAGGAGCGAAAGCATAATTTTTTTGATAAGTTAAATCTGTACAGTTATTACTGTTTTAGTTTTTTTAAATTTTTTTTAAGGTCTAATTTTTTTATACATTCAGTATCTAAACTCATGTTTAATTCTCGAGCTGCCAAAATAATGCATGTTGCTGTCCTACAGATCGGAGCGATTCACATTTGTGACCACTACCAAATCTGCAGATCAGCATGCACCACCCTCCCTCCTTTTTTGATATTAAGCTCTGAGACCTTTTACAATGACTGCAGTTGTAATATTGGATTGCTTTGACTCCGTCCCAATCATACAGTATGCTGCACATTAACAGCTTTCATGACAAGTGCTTCCCATTAGGTCACATGGCACAATAATACCAGAGGACATTGTTAGCAGTATTATCATCATACTAGTGAACAAGTGGATTACTACAAAAGACTAAGAAATTAGGTTTCCCTTAAGAGTTATGAAGTATAAAAATAGCTAATATTAGGGCAACTAAGTTATATTCTATTTAGCAGAGTGATATGAGTAGTGGAACAATTAGTGACAAAGTTATGTAAAGTTGTCCTGAGAAAGGCAACTAGTTAGCAGAACTTGTTATGCTAAATTTTCACGACCGATTTTATATGGTGTGCGTTACACATTGCAAAGTGACTCATCAATTATATAATGGAAAAAATACTACATAATTTTAACATTATAAATTGTTTAGAAAATTATATGCAAATGGGTAACTGTTGACTGAAGATAGTCATTTCAACTTAAAAATAGTACTAATAATACTAATAATATATTTGTAACAAACGCCTAGGAAATTGCGTTTAAGAAGTATGAGATATAGAAGTAGCTAGTATTACAGTAACTAAGTTGTAGTCCATTTAGCAGAGTAAAAAGTGTAGTGGAATAATTAGTGATAAAATTATGTATAATGATCCTGAAGAAATCAGCCGGTTAACAGAGCTAGTTATGCTAAATTTTCATGACCGATTTTCATATGGTGCGCATTAGACATTGCAAAGTAACCCTTCAACTCATATAATGTTAAAAAAACTGCCAAATATTATAAAGATTATACGTTTTAGAAAAGTATATGAGAAAAGGTGGTTATTCGCTGAGTAAAGTCATTTAGACACAAAAAATAGCATTGTATTATTAACTGTATATACATATGTAAAATATCAAAAGGTGTGGTTGCTAATATAATTGTTTCTAGAAATGCTTATATTAACATAACTTATTGAAGACTATACAGAAAGGAAAATCAGTAAATTAGTTAAATGTTCTCTGCGTAAGTAGTAGAGTCGAGTTTTCACAACATCTAATTTCAGATGGTATAGGTTCCAAAGAGTGCAATATTTAATGGTGAAAAAGTTTGCCCTAATGGATTTTCTGTGGGTAGCCACCTTGACAAGGTAGTCGTGGTTTCGCAGCTGATATGATTTAATATTTTCCCGCGTTATGGATGAGTTACTATAACAATGTTTGCTAATGACTTTGAATAACAGAAATAAGTTTCACTTCACTCTCCTTAACCACAGAGGTTCTAAATTCAAACGCATACACGTGTCAACATATTCCACTTGTTGGTCAAACCCTATTATGCGTTTCGTTAGGAATCTCTGAATACTTTCGATATTTTTTCGGTCTGCAGACCTTAGGTTACTATACAGGAGAGCATGATATTCAAGTTTAGGGCGGATACATGTTCTATATATAGCTAATCTTGCTTCTTGGGTGTAGAAGTTACGCAGTACAAAGCCAATAAGTCGTTTACAGTCAGATACAACTTTATTTGCATGATCAGAAAAGGTTAGATCTGAGTATGTTATTCCGAGATCTGTGACTGTGTTCAGTTTCGAGAGGAGCTTACCGTACATATATGGGCACATTCTTGGTTTCCAGCGTCCAAGGTGGGCTATACCGCACTTGTCTGGGTTGAAAGTCAGTTGCCACTTTTCGCTCTAATCGCCTAGATTGTTTAAGTCATGTTGGATTTTGCTTTCGACGCTCATATCATCGTACCTGTGATCATATACTATCTTGAGATCATCTGCAAAGAGGTATGGCGTGCCATACTTGATCACAGAGACTATGTCATTTATAAAAAAGAGGAATAGAATAGGGCCAAGAACGCTACCCTGTATTACACCACCAGTTATCGGCTTTGATGAAGACAGCTGGTGGTTGATTTTGACTAAGTGCTCTCTTTCTGTGAGAAAAGAATTTATCCATTTGAGAAGTTTTCCGGTTATTCCGTAGGATTGGAGTTTTGTTATGATGATAATCATTTAGCCTACCAATAGGCCGTTTACTTTCAGTCTTAATTGAAAGACAAATTTAGTTGCTCATTAAATTAGTAGTTTCAGGAGACTGCTCTACTCCTGTCTTCGAAATACTTTGCCCGGTCGTGTTTTACTTCAAAATATGAGTATACTGGCCAACTGATGTTGCTTATCCAGTTAAACTGCTACTCACTTACACTGTCCCTCCTATGCTCCTATCAATCAAAGCACCCCTTAAACTATCAACAAGTTACCATCACTTCTAAATAAATAACCTTAATTATTCGCATGTAAACGATGCTAATAACTTTATCACTGACGTGATGTTTCGACTTTCAAATAATTAGTTTTCCCTTACGTGAGCACTTGTTTCAATTTTAACGGATAGTTCTAACCTCTCACTACTCATTTAGTACGTTTTGTTATATGTTATCCTTCCAAAATGTATATACTCATAATAATTACTGCTAACAAATTTATCACAACAACAAGAATATACTGCATATTAACGACAATATAACTCCGGGTCGGACGTGTAGCGGTAAATAATTCCCCAAAATTATTGACCACAGCAATCATCACTCAACATTGGATGCTGACCCTCACTGTTTAAGTCGACTTGTTTAGCTGAAGGCTTCCGGTCAACCATCCCCACCATTTGGTACTCCGTCGTGTCACGTGCGTGCACTATTACTAGCTAGATAAGCATTCACTTCAACCCGCTATTTGGTCCCGAAATATATTACGTACTTTGGACAACTAAATCTGGTCTTTTGCTTAATCTTTGGTACTCGAAGAGCGAACACTACAGAAGTTGTTGGTATAAGATCTTGCGTTAGTATTCTCCGTACAGTTCGCGAACGTCGACACCTTCAGCCTCCAAACTGGTGAGCCCAACTACGAACTTCATCTTCAATAAACACACAGATAAACCCCTTGAGTTCGTTCCCTTTTGTGTTTGTTCTTGTACTCTTTTGTAATCGGCATACATTTCGTCATGAGTGATCCTAGCCCCAAGGTTATTCGTATTCGCTCAACCACCAAAACAATTCAGCTCGTACCATATGGGCCAGATAATGCTGAAACGCGGTTTCAGATAGGTGAGTCTGATTTTTGTGAGGATGGCATAACCGATCAACGTTCACAGTTCCTCGCAGTTATTCACGCCCTACCGCGGGAATTCAGCAAGTACGTAACTGTGCAGATGTCGAGTCCAGAGGTAAGTAACTCGTACGAGTTGCTCAAAGCATCCCTCCTCAAGAGAAACGTTCTCACGGATCGACAGCGTCTGGATGAATTGTTTCGTAACATCGAGTTAAAGGATCAGTCAGCCGTGAGCATGCTGACAAGAATGAGAGAGGTTATTGGCCAAAGTCAGTTCGATGAAGGACTGTTCAGAGAACTCTTTTTATCCAAACTGCCACAGTCAGTTCAGACTGTACTTGTGAAACTTCAGGGTGTTCTTATGGATGACTTAGCTGTCTCTGCAGATAAAATTCTGGAGATAAATAAACGGCCAGTTACCGAAATATACTCAGT